CCCTACCTGTGACAACCTCAGACCAGAATCTGCTAGATCTCTCTCCTGCATGCCCACACTTTCAAATGCATTTAAAAGTGACACTGCAGCCATAAGGACTCAAAACATAAAGATAACTACCAAACTTTTGAATGATCAGTCTGAAAAGAGCTTTCTAGGATGGCATATTTTCCAGAAAAGTGCAACAAAATGTGGGGTAATAAGCAGGGAGAAGTTTACTTGGTAACCTACATTATTATCTGAGTTAATTCCTTCTCTTTTTTCCACATTCTTCATATCACAGGTAAGGGTGGAAACGGGCTACAAATATAAATTAATGTGAATTCCGAAATAGCAGCATATCAATACATCACAAAGAAAACCTACCTAACCTACATATTATAACTTAAGTTGGTAAATATTTTAAGACATGCTTAAACAGAAAATCAGATTATTAATTAAACAGTGAGGTTATATCTAAAAGCACTTTTTTTTTTCGAGTGAGGGTGAGAGAGAGCAAATGAAAGCTATTTGGCTAATCAACCAAACTGAAGACTTTTAACATAATGCACGCATTTCTTTTTAATTTTGTTAAAGAAAAAGATTATAAAAGAGTATATCTGAGAAAAAGTATTATCTTTTTCCTGTGAGATGAAGTCTGACACAAGGAATGGATGGCATATCCATAAGGCAACCAAGCAGAAAAGATTAAAAAGCATAGCTTTGATAAGGTACCTTTACGTACCTTTATGGTCTGTAAAACCATAATCAGGCTATAACAGAAGACAGCAAATGCATACAATTAGTGTTATATATGTATATATAATAGGAGAGGGAAAGAAGGAAAAATATTTTAAAAGCTGTAATCTACCTTTTGGTGGTTCTTTCAACCCTTTTTCTTCCATCCCCATATGGGGGGAATCTTTATTCTTCTGTCTGTTCTCTTTCTACAAGCCTGGTTTAAAAACTGATTGCATTTTTTCCCCCTGATCTCAGCATGCTTTGGATCAGACCTTACTCTAACAGACACAGGCTAATTTGTGTGAGACATTTATATTATCTTCTTCCTGCTGCAGTCATGTCAGAAGTTATATTTCAGTTATATTTGATGGCTTCAGTTAATGAAGAATAGCCTCAGCTCATTTTAACTTATGCCCAAATATACCAGCTGGATGTAATATTGTGACTGAGCTTTCATTATAAAGATGTCATGATAAAGATGGCCAACAGTTTTTGGAGAGAAATTATCAGACTTCCAGATCCCATGTTATCCGCTCATTGTCCCATGGCTGAAAATATCAACAACAAAAAACATGTTCTCGTTTTCTAACAGAACTCCCAGAAGATACAGAGCAAACATCTGCAAGATAATTCAATCAGTTTAAAAACATTAGTATCTTCCAAGTTTGTACTGCACAGCCTTTTAAAATCCAGTCTGACAAACTTTTATAACTTACTGGGTGATAATTAATCCTCTAATTTTGTAAGAAAAGCTTAAAGAAATCAAGCCAAAGGGACAAAATTGAAGGTAATGTGGAAAGTGGGAACGAAGGAGAGGGCAAGAATCTTAAAATCTGAATTAGAGCTGTTTAAACAGGGATTAGGAGCTTCGGTGCCTGCTAACATTAACATAAATTTCCCATTGCTTTGGGGCAATCAGGCCCAGATGCTTGAAGCTTTCTCAAAATAATTCAGCTATCTGCAACATACTGAATGGGAAACTAAAACATCAGAAATGTGATGGGAAAAAAAATGAACTCCTCAGGGTTCTTAACTTGCTTGTGTCTTACAACCATTATAGATATTATTCTTAGCAAATAAACACAGATAATTAAATCTCTGACTCCCTTGCCAGGTAATGGGTAAAATGACACCCAGAATTTGTTGTAAGAAGTAGAAATAAAACTAAAACTATACAACTCTGAGGATGCTAAAGCACATACTTGACATTATCAGTTTGCCTACAAAGAATGTATGGATAATTCCTATTGAATACAAACTCTTTTCTCCTGTGAAAAATTATTAATGTAAGACGAACTAGTAGAGGGCCTGATAATGTTTGCTTGGTATTAAAAGTGCTGGATGACACTCCAATGCAAGGGTTTAACTGAGTATTTCCATTAATAATTGTTGCAACAAATGCTCCTATCGGTAGATACAGTCAACCAAAAATAAAATGAAATCTACTCTTTTAAAAATAGTCTGCCGCAAGATTTTACAAAGAGAAGAGCTGCTTAGCAATTAGAAAATGAGTTTCTTATATAAAGAGTATACATTATAAAGACAAGACATGGCTCTCACACCTGTTAAAGTTATCTGAAAGACCTTATAATTTTGTATCAAAAAGTCAAAGAACATCAAGAGACTAATGCAGGAAATTACTGTATGCATGTTATTAGGCAAAAAGAAAAAAAAAGGAACATTCACTTTGAAACAGTGAAGTCTTCTGTTCTGAGTGTTTATTACCATTAACATATCACATCAAGAATTATTTCTGCTTGGTAAGCTAAAGTACTTTCATGAAGAAAACACATGGTATGTAGGTTAAGCAGCAGCTTCAAACCTCTTGAATCTTGTGCATGCTCATTCTGTTAGATTTTGTCATCAGTGCTCAATAAATTAGCTATCATATATAGGATGAGTCAAAGAATTAAAGAACATCAGCTCTGACTGTATTGATGGAAGCACTGTATGGAAGAGTTGAAACTGAACCACATTACTTTAAGGAGATCCATCTGTGAAAAATCTGTTGACCCCACCAGCTAGGGACACAGACTTCTATGAGCTCTCACAGTTGCCAAGCTTTGGAACACAAGTAATAAATATTCCCAATAAAAACTGTCATTTCAAAAAGAAGCCAATATTCTGTGCCACTAGAATTATTTAGGACGAATGATGAATATAGGGACATACTGCTGTAATGATATTTTGGGGAAAGTTTGTCCCTGTTTTTCACAGGTTCATGTAATCTATTAACGTTGTTTAAATAAAATTCTGGTATTTAGATCACATTTATGATAACAAAACTTTAGGAGCTTTGAGAGAAAGCAGCTACAGTATACATTTCAGATTCTTTCCCCCACCACACACAATCAGCTTCTTGATTTTCAGATAGTATTTTATAGCATTTTTTTCCCGTGAGCTCCAAGACCTAACACTAAGGGGCACCAGAGAACTGAACTGCATCTGTTCAGATCCACCAGGAACCAGCTGCTGCAGCTAACATTGTAAGTTATTCACCGTGCTAGGTGGAGAGGGAATGGAGCTTTGGGGGAAACATAACAGGCGAAACAATAGTTCTGCATGACACATTCTCTGTTACAGAAAACTGTCACTGGAAAAGCAAGGACGTGCTCATTTCGGGAATGCTGAATGTCTTATAGTTTATCACCAGGTGTTGTAAAAGAACTCTCACTCCAGACAAAAGTTAGGAAATGTGTGAAAATAATGCATGATGTGAAAATGGATTTTTTTGAGAAGCAAACTATATCTAAAAAATACAAGCAGATTGACTTAAGAGTACATTTGCTTCGATCCTAGACAAGTGTAAACAGAGGAGCACAGACTTCGGAATTCAATCTTACATTAAGTTTCAGAAGATCTGGAGATAAAGACTATGACTAAGGAGATAAAGAACATTTCTAATTTCCAGTGGAATTCAAAGTTGCCTCTCATTTCCCCAACAGTACAAAAGGAAAGCAGTATTTTAAGAAAATATATAAGTTAAGCCTGTTTGCAGGTGTGGACTTTAAAAGCAACCTCCTTCACCCAGAGTTTGCCTGTCAAATAGAGAATAACTGAGTGGCCAGTGCTACTTATCTGAATAGAGCAGAGTCTTAAAATTTTAGACCTGATGTCAAGAACCTGCTTATCCCAGTTGGGTTTTCTTTCATCCTGTTTCAGTCCCTCTATTGCACCACAAAATATATAACCAGACAAGCAAAGTATAATTAAATGACACTGTATGTCAGAAAAGTAAAGTTCTTCTGATTCTCTTTTAAAAGCTTGGTCATGGTCTTGTCCCAGAACAGAAAGTATTACAAAAATGCAGATAGAGTACAGGGCCTGGTGTGTCAAATCATTGTAATCAAAGCTCCAAAACCAAAATTAATAATGTACCATTAGCAGATGGTGTGAGCTGATTTGACTGAGAATTGCAAACATGCATTCTGAAGTAAGTACTGTAGACTTTTCCTTACAATATTAGCACTTATTTTTGTGTCTTTAAATAGTCTATAAAAACGAAATCCAGAGATAACTTCTGTTCAGTGTAGAATTTGACTCACAGATCTTTTAAGGCCAGATGAGACCACGATGATAAAGAGCTCTGACCCCCAGCATAACACAGGGCATAGAACCTCTCTCAGCAATTTCTCTCTCAGGTCTGTGTCTTCTGTTTGAGGTATACCATCTCCTTTTGAAAGACATCCAGCCTTGATTTGGAAATTCCAGCACTTTCCTTGGTAAGCTCACCCCTCAGTTAACAAGAGCTGCAGTCAAAAAATGTACAAGTTTTGGCCTCCTCTGATACAGTTTTGTCTCAGATTTCTTCCCACTACATGTTTTGAAGCTAAATTAGAGAGCTGTCAGCGATGTTTGTTAAGAAATAAAACTTTCTCTAAACAAATAATGGAGAAAAGCCACCATTTGGGCTACTTTATGGACTTTGTTCAATGGCCATTAGCAGTTCTAATTGGTCCCTTACCCCAGGGTGTACAAAGCTTCTGGACCCCAGTCCAGTGGAGAAATTCAAATACATGTCTTGGTTATGCTATGGCCAAATAGCATACCTTATGTCCTGAGAGGAAGACCTTGTAACTCCAGGTCTTCATCTGATAATGTTCAACCTCTAGCTGACACCTTCTCTTGTCTCACATGGGATCCAAGTTTTTCTGTTGGTGTTACATTAAGGTGTGTCAGCAAGCAAGATGCAGGCAACTTAGTAGTGACAAAACAATATGCTTATTTAAGCAAGGGACCCTGCTGGTTGGTACCAAAAAGAGATGGATCTCTGTTGTGGATCTGAATGGAGCTCATCTGCTATTCATCACTCTAGCAGGAGAGTTAAGCCTGCTCCCTCTGCCTCTGTCTTCAGGCAGTGAGATCTGAAGAGTGTAACACAAAAGTCTGCCAGTATTTACGCAGTTTGTGCTGGGCCAGGGCTTTGCAAAACTTCTCTTGCGGGTACAGCTTATGGTTTATGGGCATTATGCTTCCCAGCTAGCTGGCTGAAAGGCAACTGTGTTCAAGCATTTTAATGTGGGGCCAAAACTTCCCAGGATCCAGCGCCTGGAGTTTCATATACCATTTGTGATTTACTCTGGCAAGGACAAGACACGGCGATAGAACGCTCCAGCCACCATCCTGTGCTGGCATGGGCCAGAAAGGGAAGGAGACCTTGAAGGAGAGAAGGCTAGAGGGTGGTACCGACCAGTCTCTTCGGTGCGACAAGTAGAAAGAGTTGCACCGAGGAAGCCCTTTGGAGGGCCCATGTGGTCCCCAGTGCTTCTCCCACCTCCTCCTCCTCCTCAGGCGGGAGGAGGCAGAGTTGTTGCTGCTGCCAATGCGCCAGGATAGAGATCTCGGCGCGGGAGGAGATGACGCAAAAGGCAGAGCTCCCCCCAAAAAAGTGTTTCTCCAGGACGAAGATGGCGGCAACTTAGCCCAGGGGCCCAAGATGCCTGTGCTCGTCGGGGGCCCCCAGCCAGGCAGTTCCGCCCCGTGCGCCCGGCGACACCGCGCCCGGCGGCAACAGCGGCGGCAGCCGCAGACCATTGTCACCAGCAGCGGCGGCGGCTCCGGCAGCCTCCTCCTCCTCTTCCTCTTCCTCCTCCTCCTCTTCAGCATCCTCGGCAGCGCTCCGGGAGCCCTGCAGCAGCGTCTCTCCAGTTAGAGCGGAGGGGGGAGAGGAGAAAGAGGAGACGGAGACAGCGGTGCAGGCATCTGTGCCGCGGCTCGGGGTTGAGGAAGAGGAGAGCCGCGGCGGCGGGGAGGAAGAGGAGGCGAGGAGTCCTCCCGGAGCGGTCCGTCGGCAGCGGGGGAACGCGGCATGCAGCTGTCCGGGGGCAACGGGCTTTTCTCAGGAGGGAGATGGGGAGCTGCGATCTGACCATGCCTGGGTGAGAGGGGGTAAGGACCAGCCGCGCAGCCCCGCCACCACCAACTACCACCACCATCTCCTCTCCTTCCTCCTCCTCCTCTCTGCGTTATTGCTCTTATCTTTTCCACGGCACTCCGCGTTGGATGGACTGGGGCTACTTCGTGTGGTGAGACCAAGGCAGAGTCACTGGTGAAACCCAACAATATCTCAGAGGAAGAAAAAGAAGAAAGAAAGAAGAGGGAGAAAGAAGGGGGGGGGGGGGGGAGGTGGGGGGGGGGGGGTAGAGTGGAAGAGGGAGAGAGCGAGCGAAGGAGCGAGAGAAGGGAAGGCAGGCAAGAAAATACCCCAGTCTTTTAAGTCAATGAATATTGTGGTGACACTGGCAAAGAAGCCCTCACGGTGGAGTCGGCCAGGGCTGTGCGTTCCCAAAATATGACCAGGGGTGCTTGGATGTGCAGTCGGCAGTATGATGACGGCTTAAAAATCTGGTTCGCACCCCGGGAGAACGAGAAACCCTTCACGGATTCAGAGAGGGCTCAGAAATGGCGACTGTCCCTGGCATCGCTCTTGTTTTTTACAGTCCTGCTCTCTGATCACTTGTGGTTCTGCGCCGAGGCCAAATTCACGGGGACCGGAGAGAAAGAGCAACCGCCGCCCGAGAAGCCAGAGCCCGCGGAGCCGGAGCTGCTGGCGGGCATGGGGGAGCCGGCGCCCCCCGCGCCCCGGCTCCTCGCCCCCCCCTCGCCCTCCCTCCCGCCCTCCCCCGGCAGCAGCGGCGGCGGCAGCAGCGGCACCGAGCACGGGCACGACGAGGCTGCTTTCCTGGGGAACTCCACCGCCAGGCCCCTGGAGACGTGCCCCCCCCATGGCTCCTCGTCCCGGCAGTGCTTCAGCGTGGGGGACGCGGAGGAGCTGTGCCGGCAGCCGGGGGGGGGCGGGCGACCGCGGAGCGCGGGGCAGAGCCCGGCCCCCGGCTGGGACCTGACGGATTTTTACCTTTCCTTTTGTAATTCTTACACGCTTTGGGAGTTGTTCGCCGGGTTGTCCAATCCGGACACTTTGAACTGCAGTCTGGATGTGGTGCTGAGGGGGGGAGGCTCCTGCAGCCAGTGCGTCCAGGCTTACCAGCGCTACGACCAGCACGCTCAGGAGAAATACGAAGAGTTTGAGGTTATGCTCCAGAAATATTTACAGTCGGATGAATACTCGGTGAAATCGTGTCCTGAGGATTGTAAGGTAGGAGCCCCTGCTGTGTTTCCTGTCCCTCGCTGGCGGGCTGGCGTGCCTGCCTCGTCTGTTGTGGCTGCCGTGCTGCTTGTTTTAGCTGCGGTCTTTGCTCCTGGCGCCGCCGACCCTAAAAAGGGTGCAGTCGGGAGCTGCGGAGGGTGTCGAAGGGGTGCCCCCGCTAGCGTATTGCTAAAAGGGAGGCAGAGAGAGGGGGAAGCTTGGAGGAAAAAAAAAATAAAGAAAAAAGAAGTGATCCTCCGTCCTCTGGGACTGCAGCACTGGATTTCCCCCTCCTCATGAATATGCGATTGGCTCCGGCTCGGCTGCCGGCTTCCAGCAGGTTGGGGTGCGGCTTGGCGGCCGGCAGCGACTGGGTCTGCATGCCAATGAGCGGGGCCAAGGACGCCGGCCTGTGTAGGGGCCGCCCGACGGCTCTGCCCTGCCTGCGGGCCCTCCTGGACCAGAGACGCGGCGGGGTCGGGGATTGGCCGGGGCCGGGGCCGGGGCCGGGGCGGCGGTGGCGCGGTGCCCAGAGGACGGGAGCCTCGTCCTCCCGCGGCCGCCGAGGTCGCGCACCGACTGCTGGGGAGGGGTCCGTTCCGGGTGGCCCCAGCGGCGGCGGTGAGTGGTGCTGCGGAGCAGGGAAGCTCCTGGCCACCTCGGAAGAGAGGAGCGGGACCGTTTTCCAGGCGCTCTGCCAGAATCTCTGAAGTTGGGAAAGGCTGGAGGACGAGAGTGGATGCCAACGAGCACCGCGGTAGTCCTTGGTTGGGACGTGGTGGTGACAGTGTTTCAGTGAGCCGCGGCCGTTCTCCTTGGTGCCACTCATGACCTCTCGGAGAAAACTAGAGGTTTTTCTTTTCTTTTGTTAGAAGGAAGTGTCCCACTTTGGCTCTTTGTAGTTGACTTCTCTCTACTTTTGCACAAGATTAGTTGGCCTAGCTCTCAAAAGAGGAAAGGGCAGGAAAAAAGTGTCATTGGTGCCATAAAATAAGTATCTGCACGCTTTCCCCCCTGTATTTTTGGGTATTGGTTGAGAGGTGGACCAGGAGTATGATTTCTGCTCTGAACTGGATTGTAGCAACCACTGTAGCATTATGTTAACTGCATGTCAGCCGAATCCTACTTTAGCAGTGGAAAACGTAAGTGCATACAAATCACTGCTGTGAACAGAAGGCCTAGCAGTACCTCTGTGCTTTGTAGCTTTATCTGGGCCTTCTGAAATCATTTCATGGTAATAGTACATGCCTAAAGAATACCATTCACCAATAAGTTGGTGTAATTTGCACACATCTTTGCCAGAAAAATTAACCCACAATCCCTCCAGGAGCTGAAATACCATGTTATCTAATTCGATAAAGTAGGAAAGTTGCTGTATATAATTTCCCTTTTTTAAACCAGACAAAAGTAAAATAGTTTCATCAGTAATTTTGAATTCCCGCTTTCTAGGTTATAAAATGTGTGTATACACGCTTTATATATATTATGTACTTAGTTACTGATAAAATGTGTTTTATTTCCAGAGTGAATTGGATAAGTAAAAAGAGTGTAGACTGTAAATAGATGTCTACTACTGGAAGGACATTGTTTCCATTTCAGTGGCTCTTTAAGTAGAAGCTGACCTACTACTCTGTGTTGCCAAATGGGCAACATCTATATGCTTTAAGTGATTTTATTTGTATCACAGTTTAGTCTGAGTGAACTTCACCATGAAGTGTGGAGTTACTCTACAGTATAATGTGGTGTAAAAAGTGTTGAAAATTAAAAGAACAGCAAGTGTGCACTGTGTAACAGTTTCCCCTTCAGAGACTGAATAACGAAAAATACTTGTCTAATGATGGGGAAAAAGCTGTTGACATGAAAACATTTGTGTAAAGCATATCAATCAGCCATACAAATGCAGTGCCAGTGACCTACAGTTCTTCGGTTCCGGGTGCCAGACGGTATTGCTCTACGTTTTGAGAATTCGGCCAACCAGTCTGTGTTAAAAATGAAAGGCTGTTCCAGCAGGGTAAGGAAAAAACCTCCAAACAAGCCCAACCCGAGAGTGCGTACAGTTAGGTGTTCCCTCCCTCGGCCCGGGGCACGGCGTTGTGAGCGCTGTCCAATGTGCTGAACGGCGTCAACCACAACCCGTGGCTACGCTGGAGAGTGGCCGTGCTCTCTTCTATCTCCGTCTCACCTTCGTGCTCCTCGGTCCCCCTAGAGCCTTCTGATTCACTCTGGTGGCTGAACAAGCCAAGCGTTTAGCAGGTCCCGCGGTCTGATAGCTGTGTGTGTTGATGTGCTTGCATCTGGTCTGCCCTGAAGTGTGTATGGGTGAAACTAGAAACTTACCATGAACACTTTGTGACTGTGCAATGTTCTGCTGGTCTTTCTGGTGTTTTATGCATAATCCATTTATAAAACTCAAATCAGGAAAATAACTTTTTATGTAAGTATATACTTTTTTTTGACCTTTGGACATTAGATTTTGATTAGCTTAAGAATCAGATTAGAAAATAACTTGACATCTGATTATGTGTTTTAAGTATGCACCATTTGGTTGGTTTACGAGGTGAGCTGCTTTTTCTTTTAAACAAAATGCTAAAAATACTTATGTTAGTCAGTAGACCTGAGTGTAAGCACTGGGTTAATACAATGAAAGTCTTGTTAAATAATCTATTTCTGTTAAAGATATCTTGAGTATAATGGGAGGGTGGCTTCATTTACAGAAAGAGTGAGCTTTTAATGCAGTTGACCAGTTACTGGTGATGAGAAAGTCACTAAAATTTACACCAATAACAGTCAACCTAAACCTTGCAATTTGGTGTTACTTACCCCTTCTTCAACTCTCCCCACCACCATCTCCCACCCTCGACACATTTCTCACAGTGAAGAGTGAAGACCATGGGGATTTCACAGTCCAGCAAGTTACACCTTTCCAGAAAGTAGTATTGGTTATAACAAATAGTACATATCAAATTACTTTGATGCACGAGGTTAAACCTCAGACTTTATATTTTCATTCCTTTATCTAACACTGTAAGAAAATGAACTTTACTTTCAAATTATTCTGTGCTTCACTACATGTATTCTGATCTCTGAAGAATATTTTAAATAAATTGCTTTGCATTGCAGAAATTTGCAGATGGGAGTTGTTTGGGTTATCAGTTCACATTTAGCTATCCTGCACAGTGGGATTTGGTTTCAGTTTTAATATATAAGTATACTCGCTCTTTATTTATTTATTTTTTTTCGTTTTTAAAGAATGCCATCCTGGTGTTACTATTAAACTTGTTATTGAGTTGCATTGGGATTTTTGAAAATTTTGTAGAAAATGCTAAGAATTTTGGGTTTTAGAGCATTTGGAAAATTACTGGGTTTGATAGTTGCAATGAACATGCATATGGATTTTATATTGTTAGGATGACAGTAGACTTGTGTGTTGTTTAGAAGTTTGGAATATCAGTGTTTTCTCACTATAAATCCATCTTCAACTTATTTCTTTAAAATACCTTTCAAGTCTGATGTCTTTATATCTTGTTTTCTGGTCCTGATAGCCATATGTCAGTAATGGCTAAACAATAACTGTAAGGTTTTGAATTTGAATGCATTCCATATTCAACCAGGTGACATGATAAAGTGTTGTAGCCTTAGTGAATCACTAAAGTAACAGAGTAACTGAAAATCTGGATTTCTAGTTTTCTATTTGAAATTGAATTCAGATTTTTTTTATATATTTATGAAATTTTGCTTTTGCATATTACACAGTTATGGTTATGTTTACAGAGATTGTTCTTGGCAATATCCATAATTTCTTGGTTTCCAGAATACCATTTTTACATGCGGTGTGACACAGTACTGTATTCAGGCAATTAACAGAGAACTGTATTGGCTTGATGTTGGAAGACACAGTTCCTCGTAATGACTTAGCTTTCTGTCAGGGGAAATACTCAAGTTCTTGTTCTTAAGACAGCAGGCAATTGCTCTGTGGAATAAAAGAAAATACTGGCTACCTCTGATTAAAAGTGGGTCAAATAACTAAGTAGGACATATAAATGTAAAGGTTTTTATTTTTTATGTTTTTTTTTTTTTAATTTATTTTTTTAAGAGATGGAACTTATGCCTTTATGAAAAGTATCAGAGGCCAGAGCTTTCTTGGCAGATGTGTTTATTAATGCTTGACCATAACATCAGTTACTATTTTTCGGGACTGGTTTCTTTAACCCAGTGGAAGTTGCAAGTGTTTAAAATGTGGCCTTCCTCAGTGCTAGTTAAAATATTGAAATGTGTAATTCAGGTAAGCGCATTATAATTAAAATAACATTAAATTAATTCTATTTTCCTCCTAGAATATCAAAGGAGAAAAATAAAACCATACGAACTCTTTTTATGTCAACATTGCTGAAGAGTGAAATTTAGCTGACATCTTAGGTGCTCAACACATACACACAGACCTTTTTTCTCTTCTTATCATTTAGTAAATTATGATTTGAGGTCTATGATATTGGTATAAGAAATATGTAAGAGCATAGCTGAGTTATACTACTATTTGGTTGGAAACATGCATATCAGTAAAGGGTTTCATCACCTAACATGGATGATATAGTCGATAGAAATATAGTTCTTCTGTTACTAGTGATTTTTGGGGGAGGGGAGAATCAAAGAACTGTGTCCAACTGCTTTTATTTGAGTAAGAGGATGATTGAAACTTATTTAAAACGATTGAAACTTATGTAAAACTATTAAAACCACATTTGTTCTCATTTATGTGAAAATATCAAACCTTATATGAATCATGACTTTTCCAAGAACTTTTTCCTAAACAGCATATGTAGTCTAATTAGGTTTTGATTTAAACTCTCAGTTAAGCTGGCAGAAAAGAGCAGATGAGAAATATGAACCCAAAATCTCAAGCGATAAAAGAACCCTTCTGTTACAAAAGGTCACATAGACCAGCATCTGCTACAAAGTTAGACATTTCAATTGCATATCTTAATCGCGCAATATTTCTGTTATATGCAGAA